GAGAAACACTGGTGTAGAAGCACCCTTGTTTAAAACAACAAATCAAACAGATTCAAACAACAAAAAGCAAAGGCAAAGGTTTCCCCTGACATTAAGTCCAGTCATGTCCAACTCTGAGGGTTGGTGCTCATCTCCATTTCTAAGCCGAAGAACTGGCATTATCCATAGACACCTCCAAGGTCATGTGGCCAGCATGACTGCATGGAGCACCATTACCTTCATGCCAGAACGATACCTATTGATCTACTCACATTTGCATGTTTTCCAAACTGCTAAACAGAGTGAGCTAAAAACAGATTTAAAGATTAGGAAGTTGGGAGTGAATGTATTAAATGCAAAGGCCTTGATGAACAGCAAAGTAGTGTTTGAAATCAACTAGATACTATCTAGAAAAGTTATATCATTCACAAAAAAGGGGTGCTTATGGAGTTGCATTACTGCAAGGTAGAAAGCCATAGATGTCCCTTGTATTGTAGGAGGTAAAGATGATTTGCAGCAAGGAACATCTCTGAACAAAAAGAGCAATGGCCAATGGCCAAACAACACAGCTTACACACACACCCTGCTTTCTTTGCGTAGCCAGCCAAAATTTCTGATACGCAATAATTTGATGGAAAGAGTTAGTATTCCTGTGGTGTTTAATCGGAGCACTGCACTTTTCACCCCAATTATGTTGATCTAATCCGTTGTGATCTATTTTTCTCCTTATGGTTCCAACCACTCCCCACTAACTGCGGGATACTAGTCTTTCCAACATGCAATGTGAAATTGCACAACGCTAAGAATTCTCCTCTTTGCAGCCCCCCTTCCCATCTTCTTGAATTTTTATCTGATTATAATTCACTTAACCCTGACCTGTTCCTTCTCAGCTTTGACTTTGGAAAAGTTTCACAGGATTCAGCTCCACGTGCACACAGGACATCATTGCTTGGAAGGGGAAGGAGTTCAGCATTGAGTGCACCTCCAGACAGAGCTGGACTGCTGCTCCCCTGAGCCTCCAGTGCTATAATAAACTTTTCCACTCAGGACCCCTTATGGCCTGTGGAATATTTATGTGACCCCAGATATATAGGTATATAAAATAGATATAAAAACCAAACATTTCCTGGTAACAAATCTGCATTTGCAAGGCTTATAAAACAGGATGATGTTCCTTTTTATGAAGTACAGCTGAAGCATCTTATTTATGGCGTCTACTGTAAACACTGCACAACAGATCTGTGTAAATGTCTAAAACAACCACTAGGTGGTGTTCAGGAAACTTTTACTGTTACCAATTCTTTTGGGATCCCAACTGAGCTAAGGGGATCTCATTTGGGGTTGGTACACAAAGTTTAAGAAGCAGTGCCCCCAGCAATGGTGAGGAAGGATGGAAGTTGTAATTCAATATCTAAGAGCCCCAATCTTTAAAGCATGCATGGGCAAACTTCAGCCCTCCAGGTGTTTTGGACTTCAACTTCCACAATTCCTAACAGCTGGCTAATTCCTAACATTCCTACCGACTGTTAGGAATTGCGGAAGTTGAAGTCCAAAACACCTGGAGAGTTGAAGTTTGCCCATGCCTGCTTTAAAGTATTCAAACAAAGACCACCAACCAAATATGGCGGGAGGAAGCAGTGGCATCACTAGAGCAGTGCAGTGCACTGGATGACACCATCAGAGGGAAATAACACCAACACCAAAAATAACTATAAAATATTTGTACATTGTTTTATAAAAAATATCTCTGCTAGATATAACCAAAAACGGTTTCTTCAGCTCAAACAAGCTGTCAAGCTAAGCCAAAATGCAAAGCTCAAAGCTTGCAAACCTAGTGCCTTGTTATATGCTGAAGCAGATAACAGACCCAATTAAATTGTGGCAGCTGTAAAAGAAAAGGTTCTGATCCTCCCTGTTACTTAGAAAAAGCCTATCCAATTATGTCAATTCTTGTATTTTATTATTTATTTACTGCATTTATATCCTGTCCTTCTCACCATGAAGGGCGGCTCACAACAAAGGCTACAATACTGTGGTAGGCTCCGTAAGGTGACACCATGAGTTACCGCACCAAGTGCCACCAAACCTAGTGGGGCCAGTGCTCCCTCGTACAAGTTTCGAACAGTCTATGAAATATGCAATATATACAATATATGCAGTATATACAATATATGCAGATGGTCTTGAGTTTCAGTCACTGAAGTTCTGAAAAGGACCTTGGTAGTCGGTTTTATGACCATTTCTTTCCTAAAATCTTAGAGTGCTGCTGATTTTCAGAGCAGACAATATAGAGATAGATAGATGTACTGCCGCACTGGGTGACACCAAACCCAGAGTTGGCACTGGGAGGGTCATACCCACTTGCCCCAGCACTACTATGTCGCATCACAATACAGGCAGTCCCCAAGTTATGAACAAAACAGGTTCTGTAGGTTTGTTCTTAAGTTGAATCTGTATGTAAGTTGAAGCAGTACATTTTAAGTGTAACCCCAGCCATCCACACACAGACACACACACACACACACACACGCATGCTTTTGATAGCATAGGGAACCTTTGGTGTTGATTTTGTTGTCTGTGCCCCTGTTCAGAAGTTTTCAACTCAATTTCTGTCCCCGTGATCATTGGATTTTGAAAAATGTGGCTTGTTGTTGAAACAAGGATTGGTGAAAAGGCTTCCGTTGAGACAGCTTTTTCCCCATAATAACTCTTTCAGGAGTAAATTTCCCTTCCTAATGGTAGTTTTCTGTCACTTCCTATTGTCTCACCTCCATTCTTAACTATGAATTGTATATAAGTTGGATGTTTGTAATTTGGGGACTGCCTGTATCCCTTTATCTGAAAGGCTTGGAACAAGAATTTTAATAATTGTATGCATGAAACAAAGTTTGTGTTTTGAGCCACCCATGTGGACAATTTTGGATGTTTTTAATATTCCGGAGTTCCGGGTAAGGGATGCTCATCCTGTATAGCACTTCTAAATCCGAATGGATTGTACTAACTCTTTCCTCATCCCCTCCTAATCCTAGCTAAAGCTAATTTCCCTGAGTCTAACTAATCCTTCTCTTTTCCCATGACTCTCTGCCTTACTCACCAGTTTTTGTAACATCTCAGCAAACAACCAGCTAATCACTGGCACGCCCAACATTGCATACTCTCATGCCCTCCCAATAGATCCATTATTGTGTTACAAAAACTATATAACACATATATAACCACAGTTTGCCTTAATTTTTCAAGTTAACACTTTTTTGTTTACAATTCTATTAAAGCACAGCCAAAGCAATTCCCACTATACAGAGATATATACAGTCAGCCATCCAGTCACTGAGGTTAGGGACACAGGAAGTGAAATATTGTTATTTTTTTTAATTAACCTAAGAGAACATTCCTTTAGAAGTCTCTAGGTCCTTCAGTATGACTCTATGAACAATGTCTTCTGGAAGATAACCATAGAATTGTACTAGATGACATAGAGATTCCTAGAGAGAATATTTGAATCAAATCTGTGAATAATCAAATCCACCAACATAGAGAGCAGATTCTGTTTCTATTTAAACAACTGCATATATTTCAAAAATTCCTTCTATTTCTATGAATTAGAACATGCATGATTTATGTAAATCTGTTCTATAGTGAAGCACTTCCTCCTTTTTATGATATGCAAGCAGCCACCTTGATGGAAGGAGCCCCGGGTGGAGCAATGGGTTAAACCCTTGTGCCAGCAGGACTGAAGACTCACAGGTTGGAGGTTTGAATCTGGGGAGAGCATAGATGAACTCCCTCTGTCAGCTCCAGCTCCCCAAGTGGGGACATGGGAGAAGCCTCCCACAAAGATGGTAAACATCAAAACATCCAGGTGTCCCCTGGGTAACGTTCTTGCAGACGGTCAGTTCTCTCACACCAGAAGTGACTTGCAGTTTCTCAAGTCGCTCCTGACACACAAAAAGACCGTTGATGGAACTCTTTCATCAAGATTTTTCATTCTTCTCAGGACCAGTGGAGGTTCAAGGATCATAAAATACTAGGCATGGGCAATCCATGGTTCTAAATGGTTCTAAAGTACTTACAAAACTAAAGTACTGGTGGTGAAACTAGGTGGCACTGGTGCTTTGCTTCTACAGTGTTGCTAAAGTTCTGGTGGTGAAAATTTCAGAACTCTAACAAAACATTCAATTTTTTGTCTTAAATGGCAGTTCCTAGTTGGTTATTTCTTGACAATCACCAATAATGAAATAATAATGAAATTTTGAAAGTTTTGTTGGAGTTCTGAAATTTTCATCACCAGAAGAACTTTAGCAGCACTGTAGAAGCAAATCACTGGCACCCCATAGTTTTCACCACCAGAACTTGAGTTTTTAAGTATTTTAGAACCATGGATTTCCCATGCCTATAAAATACCTTAGAGCTAACATGTTGTTTGAAAACAAATACACACGGTATATGTTATACTGTTACTCTTCAAAGAAGACACAGAGATACAGTCTAAAGATGTCCACAGGAATTAACATATTTGCTTCAGAAACATGAATTGCTGAAATAGAAAACCCATATTCTTCAACTGTTGTGATTTAATTTAGAAAATCCTGATTAATCCTCTCTTGTCCCACTTCTTCAGTTAATTTTAAAATGTCCCAGGATCTTCCATCTCCTCCCACTTTCTCCACTATTTTCAGCATATTTCCATTGCTGCAAACCGAGATCAAAAGTAGATTAAGTCACTCAGGAGAGTGGAGAAAAATCTTGCCCTTCCCAGTAGTTTCAGGCAAGAGCAAACCACTGCAACTTTTCTTTGGTTGTTTTGCTTCTCTGGTGTTGTCTGGTGACACACATCCCCCTCTGATGTTGTGTGGTGACACACATCTCCCTTTACATCTTTGAAAAATCGAGTGGCATGAAATAGTCATTCTAATATGTGAAATCAGATATGCTTCATTTTCTCTGAAGATGTTGTTTTATTAAATATCTTGAGACAGGATACTTTCTGATTCCCCCTTTCTCTCTCTTTCTCATCACTCCAGCATCTATGTACTCTGAAATACAGAGAGAGCGGCCTGATATTGGGAATATCATGGCTCATCCAGACTACTTTGATGGAAACCCCGATCTGATCAAACCTAAAAAGCTGCTCAATCCTGTGAGAGCCTCTAAAAGCCACCAAGAACTTCACAGGGAGCTCCTTATGAATCACAAAAGGTAAGTGGTGAAAAGGTTGGACAGCAAAGCCCTATTGCATGCAGCACTGTTTATTTTACTGTATTTTATCCCAGGTGTTAGATGTTTGAGATAGAAAATATGGTCTGTGCCTGCCATTTGTCATTAGCCACAGGGGCATTCAGTATACAATAATCTGAAATGAATGGCAGCATGATTTTTGGACAGCCCGTGAAATGAAGCATGCATGGAGTCCCTGGGAAGTGACCTTTGGTTTATCAGCAGGGCAAATCCATACAGACAGATTCCATGCAGGTGTTGAGATTTACCCTGAGGATGCCACGCAGTGTACCTGTGTTAAGTCACAAGGGAGCAGAACCTACAATGCCAGAACTAAACAGTGACTTTTGCTGGAAATGCTTCCCTTAGCCCATTGCAACAACCCATTCCCTAGCACTGCAGTTCTAAGGAATTAGATAAAACATTTTGAATGGGAATGACTTCTGAATAAATATGCATAGGATAGTTGCATATTTTCCAACTATCCCAACTCTAAGTACTCGTTGCCTATGAAAACCCCATGAAATTCACAGGGTCACATTCAACAAATGATTTAAAGGCAGATGCACACATATAATTTGGTTGATAAGCATGACCACTGTTGTTGTTTGTTTGTTGTATGTTGTGCTTTCAAGTTGTTTCTGATTTGTGGCAATCCAGGCTAAGAGAGGGTGACTTGCCAATGGGTTAAACTCTTGTGCCAGCAGGACTGAAGAGTGACAAGTCAGAGGTTTGAATCTGGGGAGAGCATGGATGAGCTCCCTCTATCAGCTCCAGCTCCCCAAGCAGGGATATGAGAGAATGTTCGGCTGTTGGCCAGTTTCTACGGCCAACACCTGAACATTTGTGTATCTCTATGCTATACAACAGTTAAGGGTACATGAGCCCTATCTGCTTTTTATGTACATAGCCAAGAACTGAGTTATTTTCTTTTTAATGGACACACCAGGTAGACCAAGCATTAAAAACATTTCTGGAAACATTCTGGAATTATTATTATTATTATTATTATTATTATTATTATTATTATTATTATTGGCCAGGCTTTACCACAGCTGGTAAATCACAAGCAATTATAAGATCTAACAACCAAAAGGTTGTCAGTTCAAAGCCCTGGGTTGGTATGAGCTCCTGACTGCCAGTTTGAAAATGGCTTGAGCTGTAAGTAGAGAAATTAGGTACCGCTAAAATAAGCAAGGGAGATATTTTACAACACCATAAAGAAAAAGATCAGAAAATGCCCAGTGACCAAAAGGAAAGAGGAAGTCCTGATGGCTCTTCATCATAGAGGATGAAGTGGCAGTACCCCTCTGTGGCTGGATTAGAGCACAACCTCCAAGGCGCCAGAAAGCTGGATGTTAACAAAACATACTTACTTCCTTTCTGTTCTGTCTGTCTCCATCCTGTCTATCCAAAATGACACTGAATGTTTGCCATGTATGTGTACTCTGATCTGCCCTGAGTCCCTTTGGAGAGATAGGACAGAATATAAATAAAGTGTTATTATTATTGTATTTTATTTTATTTTACTAACACAAAAACACAATATGACACAGCAAATGAGATATATATGCTGGGTTTCATATCACAAAAATTACAAGTCGAACACAAAATCACAAGTCGAACACACAAATCAAACATTATAATATTATTATTATTGTTATTGTTGTTGTTATGTACGCACCTCTCCTCAAGGCAGGGTGCAACACAGTTATCAATAGATAAAAACATAAGACCATTAAAACCACATATACTGAAAGACAGTCATAAGACTGAAACATATTAAAATAATTTGTACTAATTCCACCTAAACATTAGGAAGAACTTCCTGCCAGTAAAAACTATTTGGCCATGGACTATACTGCCTCAGAACATGATGGAGTCTCCTGTTGCAAAGGTTTTGAAGCAGAGGTTGGATGGCCATCTGTTGGGGATGCTTTAGCTGTATATTCCTGCCTGGCAGGGAGTTGGACTGGATGGACCTAGGAAGCTTAAATGAATAGGCTAAATTGCTGTGTAAATGTTAGGATTTTTGCAAAAACCTTCCCTACATTTTTCTTTGTGTAAACTCACAATGCCCGGTCATATACCTTTACAGCCCTGTCTTGTACTGGAGGAGAATTCAGATCACATTTCATAATCTTGGCTTCATGTCAAGTCAAAGGAATGTAGATCTCTGGTCTGAGATTTCCCAAAGCCCTGCAAGGAGGTATAAAAGAAAAAAAGAGACTGTTTGTAAAGATGCTTTTTCTAGATAAAAGAAGGAAGGAGAGGAGCTGGTAAATATCCTGCTTCAGCCGCATCCACTTTTATTTGGTTTAGAAAGCCTGTTCATGTTTGAATAGGCAAGCAGGGAGCAGTTTGGATATGGCATGAGTCATTCAAAGCGGATAGTGGAGCAGAGGACAAGTTTGGCCTTTTTAAAGAGACCCTGGAAAGCTCATTGTGAACTAAATCATCAAGTGATGATTTTCATATTTCTGCCAGCACAAAAAGATGAATAATTATTCCACACATTTCCATGGGAAAAAAATCCTATTAAAGCAGCTTACAGAATTTTAAAACCTGGAGGACTCAGAGCAATGGGCTCAAATTACAGTAAAGGATATGCCACCTAAACATTAAGAAGAACTTCCTTACTGTAAGTGTACTGGAAGCGCCTTCCTTGGAGGCTTTTAAACAGAGGCTGGATGGCCATCTGTTGAGGGTGCTTTGATTGTGCTTTTCCTGCTCAGCAGTGGGTTGGACTGGATGGCCCATGCAGCCTCTTCCAAATGTATGACTCTGTGAAAACAAAAACAAATGATGATGCAAATGTAATTCAAAGTTTAAAGTATCTAGACCTAAGGACGCATGTTAATATAACCATGAGGTTTTATTGGCCATTTAAAGGCAGTTAAAGAAACATATGTTCTTCAGGGATATAATGAAAAGGCCTTTTTTCCAATATCCAATTGTGTGATCTAATGATCCTTGATTCTGGTCTGATATTGGTCAGAGATCAGGTTCTGCAAAGCTAGTTTCAGATGGGTCCAGTGTTTATATATACTGCATTTTGAGAAAGGCAGGCTTCCTCAAGATGCAGTATGTTTATTATTATTTATTTATTTCGTATACTTCTACCCCGCCCTTCTCAACCCCCGAGGGGGGACTCAGGGTGACTTACAAAATGGCACAATTCGATGCCTACACAATAATACAATAAACGTATAAAAACAGCAGTTAAACGGTTAAACAATTAAAACAACAATATATATCACAGTCAATAGCCAATCTCAAGCACAGCGTTCGCCAACTCAGAGTCCATACTTCGTTCCACATTGTCTGTTCCTATCCGTCGTCGCAGTCCTTTATTTATCTGCCAGGTTGCCCAAACGCCTGGTCCCACATCCATGTTTTTAATTTCTTTCTAAAGGAAAGGAGGGATGTCGCTGATCTAATTTCCCCGGGGAGTGAATTCCATAGGTGAGGGGCCACTACTGAGAAGGCCCTGCTATGGGGATTGAGCAAAAGTTCAGTCTTTCATTTACAGTAGAGTCTCACTTATCCAACATAAGCGGGCCGGCGTTGCATGAGCAAAACGATGGATGAGCGAAAATATTGGCTAATAAAGAGGGATTAAGAAAGGCCTATTAAATGTCAAATTACATTATGATTACATTATGATTTTACAAATTAAGCTCCAAAACATCATGTTTTACAAAAAAATTGACAGAAAAAGCAGTTCAATACACAGTAACATTATGTAGTAACTACTGGATTTGGCACCAAAACATCGCAGTGTATTGAAATAGCTGTGGATCCAGGTGGGAGACAGACTCATTGGATAATACAGAATGCTGGATGTGTGAAGGTTGGATAAGTGAGACTCTACTGTACCTCAATGCAGCCTTGAATCACAATAACCAAATTCACAGATTGCTCTGCATTTTTCCTGAGAATCTGGAGCAAACTGTGACTTTGGGACCATATAAATATTGGGGCTAGTTCCAAGATGGAACCAGCTACTTCTGTTTACACAGCCATCCCATATTCCCCAGATTCAATCAACCCAGGGACACATGATGGCACTCACCATTCCTCCTCACCCCCGTTCTCTTAATTGTGGAAGACACATGTAACGTGGCTTATGTTGGTCATTCGTGGTCTGAAGTGACTCTAACTGGAGTAAGGAGGCAATCAGAGAAGAGAGAGAAGGAAAGGAGAGGAGTTGAGGGGAGGGGAGAGGAGAGGAGGGGAGAGAAGAGGAGAGGAAAGGGGTGATTCCTTTTCTCCCCCTCCTATTTCTCTCTGATGTGCCAGCCTATGTCACACCAGGTTATGAGTGATTATGGAAGACACATGTAACATGGCTCATGTTGGTCATTGGTGGTCTGAAATGAAACTAACTGGAACAAGGAGGCAATCAGAGAAGAGAGGAGAGGGGTGATTCCTCTTCTCCCCCTCCTATTTCTTTCTGATGTACCAGCCTATGTCACACCAGGTTATGAGTGATCAATACAAGTCATGTCACTGTCGCTGGCCACCATGATGGAGAGAACAAGGGGGACAGTAACAACAGTGATCTAAACCAGGGCTTCTTAACCTTTTCTACTGGGGACCCCCTGGGCTTAAGAAAATTTTACATGACCCTGGTATATAGGCATATAAAATAGATATAAAAATAAGACAGTTAGTGATACCAAATCAGCATTTGCAAGGTTTGCTAAACAGGCTGTTTTTCCCCCTTTTTTGGAGTATCTTCTGCAGAGTCCACCATAAAAACTACACAACAGATTTGTGTAAATGTCTAAAATGGCCACTAGGTGGCGTTCAGAAACCGTTAACTGTTGACAAATTTTTCAGGACCCTAACAGTGAGCTAAGAGGACCCCATTAGTTTAAGAGACAGTGATCTAAACTATCCCAGTCCACCATTCATAACTCCAGATTGGTCCTGAAATAAATGGTCAGTGTAGAGCCACGCACTGATTCTGGAGGAGCAGAGAACACAAAGCATTCACTTTCAAAAAATAACAACTTGCCTATTATGATGGAGTAATTTATAATCCAGACTTTATACATTATGTATAATTGCATATAGTAAGGAGAAAACAGTCAGATCAGAATGAACTTCTTATCTATGGACCAATAACTGAGGTTTCATTTATCCACGTCTAACAAAATATGCTCTCTCTAGGTCCTCCAGTTTGACTCTGGGTTATTCCTGTTGGGAAAACCTTCCTTTTAATAGGGTTCAGTATTACCTACATATCTAGCTCTGGAAATCTATCACCTATCGATATGAGAGTCATACAGTTCATTGTGTTGGATCGATCCTCCTTACTACCATGCTCCTTACTAGTTTTCTTTTTCAAGTCAGGAGCAACTTAAGAAACTGCAAGTCGCTTCTGGTGTGAGAGAATTAGTTGTCTGCAAGGACATTGCCCAGGGGACACCTGGATGCTTTATCATCTTGTGGGAGGCTTCTCTCATGTCTCCGCATGAGAAGCTGGAGCTGACATATGGGAGCTCACCGACCTTTCAGTCAGCAGTCCTTCTGGCACAAAGGTTTAACCCACTGTGCCATCGGGGGCTCCTGCTCCTTACTGTCAGTGGACTGAAGAAACAAGATTGTAAATGGCTGCTGCCCTTTGCTGTTCACCAGATCAGAAAGCTGTGGACAACAACAACAGAAAAGAGTAGGACAGCAAGCCACACTTGCCTTCCAGATTGTTCCATGTGCTTAGTTACTGTGTGGCACTGGAAACCTCCTCCATCTTCAAAAGGCCAGCAGGCAGCCTTGGCCATAAGAGAAACTATTTTGCAAAGGAGAAGGAGTCATTATTTGTTACTAAAGTTGGTACAATGGGCTGCATTGTCTGACTTCTGTGGTGCTGAACTCAAAAGTGGAAATGGATGGATAATCACAGAGTAAATATACCTAAGAATGATCTTGCAAGGACCAGGGGAAACCAAAGCCTGAAGAACAGTACAACCCCTGTACCCGTGGAATCATTATCCATGGTTTCACTTACCCACACTCCAAAAAATATATCCCAAAGCGTTTGTGGGCCTCTCTAGGTCCTCCAGTGTGATTCTGTGGTGTGCTTCCAAGTACAGTCAAGATAAAAGGATCACTATTACCCAAGCTTTAGGGTTTCCATAGAAGTCTTATTAAAATATATCCCAATATATTAGTACGGTATAACATACTGTATTAATGCTGGAGTTAAGCATGCAGTTACTGGTTAAATTGCTCCCTCTGCTGGAGAAAAAGAACTCCCATTTTTAAAACTAAGTTCAGTTGTGTAACTATTTCAAAACTCTGATCACGTATTATGACTAATCACACTTTTTCATCTTATTTTTAAAGTTACGACTAATTGATTACAGGCTTATCCCCAAGCCAACTTGGCCTCCATGTATACTGTTTCCAATAGATGGATGAAACAATAGTGAAATATTTGTGCTCAAACTGATATGGCTCCTGGTGTTTAAAGGCACCCAACTGTTCCTCTCTGGGGAATCCAACTGGTTTTGTTGCCACACATTTGTGGGAACCTCACAGGAATTTGTGACCTTCTTGCTTCTTGCCTCCTTCTGTGCTCTGCTGTGCTCAGTTAAGCAGAATCCAAGCAAGAAGACTCTTTGCAGCCAACTCCTTGTCATTTGCGATCATATTCATCTGCAATTGGCCTCTCCAAATCCATGGGTTCCACATGCAAGGATTCAACTATACATGTCCTGAAAATATTCCCAAAAAAAGTTCAAAAAAACTTTGATTTGGCCATTTTATATAAGGAATATAATTTCACAACTTAACTGCATATAATGGGACTTGAGCATGCACAAAATGTGGTGTCCATGGGGGGTTCTGGAACCAAACCTCAGTAGATACTGAGTACCCACTATACTTTCAAATAGGCTTCACTGTGAGGTAGTGTCTGTGTTGTAGAACCACCCTTCAACTGTAAAAGCATGTGATGCTGCTGTACAACCACTGTCAAGTTGTTCTTAATTGATTGCAAACCACTTTTGCACCAGTTTGCAGCAACTGAAATCAATTAAGTACAAGTGGGAGTAGGAAAATGCAAATGGGACATTTTTAAATACAAGGGTTATCTTGAGTCGCCTAAGGGCTGAGAAGAGCGGTATACAAATGAAGTAAATAAATAAATAAATAATCTGGAAAGTAAGTTTAAAATATTTTTTAAAAATACAAAGAATGAATATATATATTAATAAAACTTACATGGATTGTAACATAGGTATTACATTATTTTTCCACATCATCACCATTCAGTTCAATACATTTTGTCATCCGTGGGACGGGTTTTTGATGCCTGTATCATAGAAGTTTCCCTCCACCTTTTTCAGCCAGTTCATCACTTCGATTTTCACCTTATCATCAGAAAAGTATTTTTCACCCAGATGTTCCTTCAATTTAGTGAACAGATTATAGTCATTGGGTGCAAGATCGGGGCTGTGAGAGGGGTGGCTTAAAACATCCCAACCAAATGAAGTCAACAACTCTTGTGTTGCATGAGCAGTGTGCAGATGTGCATTGTCATGAAGGAGACAGACTCCCACCATCAGCATCCTACGGCGTTTGTTTTGGATGGCTCTACGAAGTTTCTTCATGGTCTCACAATATATTCCATTTCCTTTTGTCACATGCTGTCTTGACATTACGTCCTCTCTATAAACTGAAATGATTTTGTGATGAATTGCAGCAGCGTTCGTGCCCTTAGCATTTAGGTAGCATATTACTTGAAGGGAAACTTCGCACTTGAAGGGAAATGGATTGAGGATGCTCATCTCTAACCTTCACCACAATGCCAGTTGATGAGCTGCCGACAACTGGCACTGCTCGTTCGCTTCCACTGGCTTCCCACTACACAGCAGTAATAACAACTTCCCCCGCAAAAATTCCCCACAAGAGCGACATGTCTTGTAACCTTACTTTCCAGATAACCCTCATACTTCTGTAGCTAGTACTTATTTGTTTTGTCTTAGTTTATTTCATAACTAAGACTGGCCTTTCGCAGTTAAGAAAGGTTGCTTATGTGTGTGTACACAATGAAAGTTAGTAACATAACAAAATGCAAACTGAAGCTTTAGAAATACATGAAGGACCCCTGAATCAGCCCAATACTGCAAATGCAAGTCTCCAAGCTTGCAAAAACACAACATTTCACCACTTTAAAGCAACTATAATTTTATTCATGGAAGGGAAACAGTGCATAAAATTAATCAGAGCTACCTGAAGAATGTGCTAGCACTGGATTATTATATCAAGAGTAGATACCCTTGTAGTGTAAACAGCCAACTCCTTGTCACTTGCTATATATCCATATACTGTATAATATCATATGCTTAATTATTTCAGTTATGTTTTATTGACATAAGCAAACATTGAAGGTGAGGGATATGTAATTGGATAAATCTTTCTCCTCCAACCCTTAAACTCAATTCTAGTGTATCTATTTCTTCTCTCTGTTTGTAGAGGATTGGGAGTGGAGAGCAAACCAGAACTTCAACGGGTGCTAGAGCATCGACGACGAAACCAACTGATACGACAGAAGAAAGAAGAAGAAGAAGCCAAAAAATTAAAGTCACCGTTTGAACAAGAGCTCTTGAAGAGGCAACAACGGCTGGAGCAAGTAGGAAACTATTCTGAAATCTGTTATAGAGTCTGAGACTGCATCTACACTGTAAAAATTAATGTAGTTTGACACCACTTTAACTACCATGGCTCAGTACTATGAAATTATGGAAACTGTGGTTTTCCATGGCCTTTAGCTCTCTCTCTCCCAAAGAGTACTGGGGCTTCAGCAAACTACAGCTCAGATGATTCCATAGCATTGAGCCATTGTAGTTAAAGGGGTGCAAGGATCATATATAAACTCTCCACTTCGAAGTCAAGTTCCCATGTCTCATTCTGTAACTTGGGTTGCGTTTACACTGCAGAATAAGTATCATTTGGCACCACTTTAATTGCCATGGCTCAATGCTATATAATCCTGAGAATTCATAAGGCACTAGAACTCCTTGGCAGAAAAGGCTAAACTTCAAGCAGTGGTTCTCAACCTGGGGTCCCCAGGTGTTTTTGGCCTACAATTCCCAGAAATCCTAACAGCTGGTAAACTGGCTGGGATTTCTGGGAGTTGTAGGCCAAAAACATCTGGGGACCCAAGGTTGAGAAGCACTGGAAAGGCCTTGTAAAACTACAACTCCCATGATTCCATAGCATTGAGCCCTGGATCGTAAACTAATGTCAGACTGCATTAATTCTATAGTGTAGATGCACCCTTGATATTGTGTTGTGTTACCTTTAGACCAAGACTCACAAGAACATCCAGCAAGTTTTCAACTAACAATGCGGATAAATCTTTGCAATCTGTGTTTTTCTTTCTGCGGTGTGATTGCACCCCAGGATTCCCAAGCTTCCTGTCTTGATGGAAGAGCAGCTGGATTTCTCTGCTTACTTAATCACCAATCTTATGCCATTTGCCAGCTGTTAAATCCTATTGAAGTCATTGGGAACTCTAAGCTTGTAAACAGTTCCAGGATGTTTCTGCTTTTTCAGTCAATCCCAACCTGTTCCCTGTTGTGCTTTGGCAAGATGAAGATCTTAATTAAGCAGCTGATGAACCTGTGCACACATCTCCTGAAGGCAAAGTTATCAACACCTTGCTGTGTTCATTCTTCTTTTGGCTAATATGGGCAGATTCCTTGCCTTTGATTGTGCCTAATTGTAGGCAGTTCCAAACAATGCAAGACAAGTCATGATGAACTGAATGTGTCGTGCCCTTGAGGAAGCCCTACATGGGCTTAGCTGGAACCTGCATTTAAGTTGCTTTATTAAAAGACCTGCCTGAAGACTCATTAATAAGATGCCCTGGTATTTAATTAAGAGATTCTTAACTTTCTTTTTTTATTTTAATGCCTTCTAATTATTTTTATTAATTATTTTGGTTTTAGTCATTTCCCAAGTGTGATCAAAGCAGTAGTCAAAGACAAGCTCAAAGTGTCTCTTTATTTAGAGCTTTTAGCTGCTGCCTCCCATTTTCCAATAGGGGAAACCTATAGCAGTGAAGCAAATGGAAGTATACAAATGAGAGTTGCTCCAAAATGTGAAAAAAATGCCCACTGGTTCGTGTCTGCTCTAACTGACCCAGACCCTGCTACCAAGATAGCCCAAGCCATTCTGCTCCCTGAAGCAAAGGGCCAGATAATGTCTGCCTTCTATTCGATAAACAGGGGCTGAATTGACTGATGGTTTGACTGTTATTTTAGTGGTAAAAGGTTTTCCGCTGTAGGGTAAGACTGAGATATCAGCCCCACAGTATCCTCCCAAGTGAGACACAAAGCTGGGAGGCACCCTGAAACTGAGCAGGAAGGCAAGCAGACAACAAATAACTTTGGCCAAAGAAATGACCAAGTTCAGCATTGTTTTCTGATTAGCCTACTCAAGGCACTAGTTGAGCTAGATAAGGTTAGGTTTTCCCCTAACATTAAGTCCAGTTGTGTCCGACTCTAGGAGTTGGTGCTCATCTCCATTTCTAATCCAAAGAACCGGCATTGTCCATAGACACCTCCAAGGTTGTGTGGCCAGTATGACTGCATGGAGCACCGTTACCTTCCCACCAGAGTGGTACCAATTGATCTACTCATATTTGTATGTTTTTGAACTGCTAGGTTGGGAGAAGCTGGGGCTAACAGCAGGAGCTCACGCCGCTCCCCAGATTCAAACCTGTGACCTTTCAATCAGCAATTTCAGCAGCTCAGCAGTTTAACCCACTGCACCACCAGGGACTCCCTGAGCTAGATAAAGTTTATTTCAAATATCAGTATTTTGTAGAATTTCACATTTACACAGCCAAAGTGCACATGAGCAATATTTAGTGCCTACATGATCATTCTTATCTATGTGACCAGCACAGAATGCATCAAGAGAATGATTGTTGATTATGAGGATGCCCTCAGGATCTGGCACTGCAGCCATAACATCTGATGGGTTGGCCCTGAGCACATGATATTGCAGTTGCAGCATGTTAGCATAGAATAAATGATAGATCTCAGCAAAACAATACAAATCATGGATGAGGTATCCAAGTGGAGTAATGATGTAATGATGCCATATTGTTTTCTGCTGCTTTGGAGACAAGGGATCCCAGGATTCTTCCCCACCAGTCTAGAGACAGATAGGCACGCTGCCCATCCCACAACGTTGCTAGATTTCCAGAAGAGGCCCCACCCACAACTGGAGTGGAAGCATTGAACAGCACTTCCCTCCCAACACGGGAGCCTGCCTGAATTGTGAGGATCCAGCACAGATCCTAACAATGCTTCCCAGGTGTGATGGGGGAAGGTCGCTGTGAGGGAGCAGCACATGGGGCAACAGATTTGCCCCACTGCCCCCTCTGTTTGGTGGCAAAGCCTGGTGAAGCTGGCCTATTTGCCTTTCTCATGTGATAAGGTGGTAGGACATGGACCCATAGATTCAAACTACCAGAAAACAGATTCCACTTAAAAATTAGGAAGAGCTGTTCAGAGGTGGAGTATTCTGCCACAGAGTGTGGCGAAGTCTCCTTCTCTGGAGGATTTAAACCAGTGGTTCCTAATCTGTGGGGGCCACGGACCACCACTGAGCCACAACGATGAAAATGTGGTCCAGGAGCCTCCTACCTCTTAATATTTGTATTTTATTTTATCTCATTTTATTTCTGCTCCTTTGGCGCCACATGCCACTCTTTCCTTGTTGCTGACCATGGCATATGTTTTGTATCAGAAACTAAAGCTGATGTGGTCTATCCAATGCAAATTTCCGAATCAGTACCCCAAACCAAATCTAAAGTTTATCAAAAATTGATTTGTTAGCCTTTGGTACTACTACTACTACTACTATTATTATTATTATTATTATTATTATTATTATTATTATTATGGTACTATTATTATATGGTACTAATGTTGGAGAGTGGTCCCTGGTCAAGTGGACCTGATCAAAGTGGTTCCTAGTCAAGTGGTCCCTGGTCAAAAAAAAGCACTTCCCTCCCAACCACTGATTGGATGGCCATATCTCAGGAGTGCTTTGTATTTTACTGCATGACAAAAGGGGGTTGGGTTGCTTGTCCCTTGGGGTATCTTATGCCAAATGGGCCATTACCTAACCCATATCAGCTTCCTCCAAAAATATTGCCCCTCTGATATTAGCCTCTTTGACACTTTTCTGTGCCAGACCTAGAATCATATAATCGTAGAGTTAGAAGAAACCACAAGGCCCATGCAGTCCAACCCCCTGACACACAGAAACATGCAAGCTAATTTTGTTAACATTTCTATAGTGATTTCTTCTTTACTTAATTAATATCTCATGCTATTCTTTCACCAGCTGGAAAGGGAACAAGAGAAGGAAGAAGAAAATGCACCAGAGTTTATTAAAGTGAAAGAAAACCTGCGGAGGACCTCAGTGGTAACCGGGGCAGAGAAGGTTGCCTAATGGGCATGAGCTGAGACCAAAGTGTACGAGAACCTTCTGCTTCTTCAAATACCTTCATGCCGACGTCTTTGTAAACAGTGGACATTCGCAGTCTGTGTCTTTTGGGGCGACTTCCCGTTTATTAATGCTTGCTCCAATTGAAATCCCAAGAAGGGCATTTTCATGCAGCCAAGAGTGACACCCAAACAAAAGTGGGGTGTTCTACCAGAGGAGAAAACAGTGAGGGAAGACCGAATGAGCAAGACCTAGCCTTCTCTGCAAGGAGCGGCACCGCGTTAATGCCCCTTCTTCGTCGCTTATGATTAACCCTCAGCCTAACCCTTTAAGACTATGTTCAGATGTAAACATTTGGGGAGTGGGGAAAATGCTATGCAAAGAACGGGTTGTTATTGTTTCAAACTACACTGCCAGTATCAAAATCTCTGGTACACAAAGCTAACTGTTAGGAGGAGTTTGTTAGAAAACCAGTGAGGATGGCAAAAAAGGGAAATATCCATCAGCAGGGAAAATTTTAGCTTGTTTTAAAGCATATCTGTCTGGATTTGCATAACCTGTGCTGTATCTACCACAACATTATCCATTGAATGCAATTGTTTCAATCGACCATTGCAATACATATACACAGATACTTTTTTTGAGATTAGGGATGGTCATAGCATGTAAGGTTTCCTTTGCAATGCAAATAATTCCCAAAATAGCAGGCTAGGCAAGTTACTATGGAAAGAGCGCACTGGGCTATTCTGTATAGTTGGGCAGACCCTTCCCAAATTTGTAGAGAAACGTTTAATGCTTGGACTCTGAAACGAGGAGCAAGGAAAATGTGTCAGGAGAAACCTCTGGGAGCTACTCAAAAAGGTAATAGAAATCACACTTACAGAATATGTATATTGATCCAGAACTTTTTGATAGCGAAACCAGGATTGTTATAAGAAAACGAGTGAAATTGGGAAATTAGGAGACAGAGGAAACAGCAGTGCATGTGTGGAGGCCAAAACAACAACAACAACCCAAGAACAAAGGTTGGTTTGACACTGATGCCCATTGAGGCTTTGCTTTTACGCACAATTAGTGGGAAATGGAATTGAAAGAGAAGTTCCACAGTGTATTAATACATCATCGCCTAGTGTTCAGCTATGCAGCTATACCTTTCTCCCAGCCAAGATCCAAATATAATGTTTACTCACAACTAAATCCCTTCCACTAAGGGTGCTGGCAGCTTCAATTGAACGTTTATTGCTTTGCAGCTTCAGCCTACAGTTATGACTTTCTGTTTGTTCTGTCCAAGGGACTAGTAATAAACTGATCTGTTTATTAGACTCTTGAGAAGGCTCACTGAATGCCCTGGTGGCAGTTTCTCTACTCATTGCAGAGGGGTGGCTTTCATTACAATTGTTTTAATTGCATGTTATTAGCCAAAATAAAAATGCCACACTGCACAGTTATAGCAATTAGATTCCATTGCTCCATACTAAAGAATGCTAGTATTTGTGAGGTACTCAGATTCTCACTTTTTTAACTTACAGAATAGCAGCTCTCTAACAGAGAGTTTGAAGGACCTCTATAAATTGCAAACGTTAAGATTAAGATGGAACAATACAGATTTAGTGAAATCAAAATGCTATGATAATTTAGTGTGGATACAGCCCTTATTTAGGGGGGAAATCATAGAAGGTCAACACAAGCAACAGGAGCCGTGGTAGTGCAATGGATTAAACCTTTTTGCCAGCTGGACTGCTGACCTGAAGGTTGGGTTACTGACCTAAAGGTTGCCACTTCGAATCTGTGAGACAGAGTGAGCTCCCATCTGTCAGCTTTAGCTTGCAGGGACATGAGAGAAGCCTCCCTACAGGATGTAAACACATCCAGGCGTCCCCTGGGCAATGTCTCTGTAGATGGCCAATTCTCTCACACCAGAGGCAACTTGCAGTATGTTCTCAAGTCGCTTCTGACATGATAAAACACACACACACAAGAAACAGCTGGAGTACCACGGATTGCCTGAATGCTCATATAAACAAAGCATGGCAATTCTAGAGAAAATTCCTGTGGTGCTACCATGCTCAGAATTAAAAGACATTGTCTATCTAGCCATTCTGTCACACTATTTGCTCTTTTGGTTCTTTCCAGCTGAGACTTTTACTGTGCAATTGCACAGCCTCATTCATGGATGTTGGTTGGAGGGCAATGACGCCATCTTCCATTCACAGTCTTCTTGTGTTTTCCCTTTGTTTGTTCAGTACTTTTTCTTACTGTAGGAAATTCATTAAGCAAAAGAAATGGAATAGCTGCAATTAAAATGTCTTTCAGTTGCAAACAGTATGAGTCCTGTGTCCGGAAGCATCCATAGAGGGTTTTCTCTGCTGAAAAAAAAAAGATGAATGAAATAGTGGGGAAACACAAGAGGACTGGTGAACTAAAGCAGGATAAACCACCATGAATGAGATGGTATGACTGCACAGTAAACACCTCATCTGGAACTACCCTATTACTCAAATTAACAAAGAAAACTGTAGTATATTTTCTCACCAGAAAAAGTTCTGCTTAATTTTTTGACCTTTTTCAACAATAATAGCGCTTAAAGACCATGTGCTTTATTTTGTGAATCAAATGAAACTAGGAATTTATTCATATGGCATGTTTAAATGAGACATCATGTGAGTACTCCTTCTAGTGGTCATACATAATATCTAGTTATGATATCACATTGGTGACACCTATGGGCCAGGTTGTTTGTGATAGGTTCAAAGCAAACATGCAGCAGCAACATAAGGAGGTAAGTTGACATCTATTTGCATGGGTTGCAATGAGGAGGAAATCCTCAGCAGAACAAGCCTCTATCCACTTTTCATTCATCACTGAATCACTGGACCTTGAAGTGAAGAGACAAAGGTTGGATCTTGTATACTTAGAATGGATCTGCTGAACTCAGTGTGAATTAAGTGAGCATGGAAATCCCTTCCTTCTCCTCCTCCTGTTCCATCAGACTGACCAAAGGAGCCACTGCCATATATACAAGGATCCTACTGATGTCTGCTGAAACAAAAAGGCCTTCATCTGCCCATGCAAGGAGAGTGAAGAGGGCACCAGTCAAGCATCTTTAGAAAGGGAAATGGAGAGCCCAGAAATAGCCAATGAGAAGGCCCTTTCCAATGTAATAATAATAATAATAATAATAATAATAATAATAATAACCCTTTATTTATATTCCGCCCTTCTCACCCCAATCATAGTACGCATTCATGGCAAACATTCAATGCTGTTTTGTATAGACAATATAGAGCCAGAACAGAAGGAGGTGTGTTGTTGTTTCAACTCAATGCCCGGGGGGGGGGGGGTGCCATAAAAGGTTGGGCTCGAGTCCAGCCACAGGGTGTGCTGTCACTCCATCCTCTATGATGAAGAGCCATCAGAATTTCCTCCTTCTTTTTGGTCACCCAGCATTTTCTAATCTTCTTTCTTTATGGCATCATAAAATAACTCCCCCACTTTTAGCCTCATGTAAGCCGCACCGAATACCTTGGTAGTGGGATGGTAATGGTAGTGGGGTACAAATAAAGTGTTGTTGTTATTATTATTATTATTATTATTATTTCTCTAATTACAGCTAAAGCTGTTTTCGAACTGCTTAAGCTGGGCTGACAATCAGAAGCTTATGCCGACTCGGGGCTTCGAACTTGCAACCTTTCAGTTGATAGATCTTACAATTGCTGGAGACTTACCAGCTGTGCTAAACCCCCATCTGTTCTCATCAGATGTATCTATGATAGTAGAGCCACAGGGAGAAGTTCCTCCATCTTGCCCAAAATTGTCTATCCCACCTGGCAATAGCTCTCAGGGTTTTGTCCCACTGGAAATTGGAAATGTCAGGTATTGAATCCAGAATTTTCCATGCCAAAAACTATCCAAAGTATTGTTGCCCTTATATAAAATGTTTGGGATACTTGACAGAGGCAGTTGTCTTCTACACAGACGTAATGTGGAAGCAACGGGACTGGATTTGTAGATATATTTAAAATGTTGAAAGCAAAGATTTTGATTCTGACTTGTTTTTGTATAGATTATGGATCGGTTCCAACCTTAATACACACTGATTCAGTGAAAGGCTGCTTTTCACATTCAGTTTTCATGGCCATATATAACTCCTCATCAAGATTCTAATAAAGCAATAAGATGGCAGAATATCAATCAGCATTCTGCTAAATTCCAGACTGTCTTGCAATAGACAGGCTAGGTTTTTCTATTCCCAGCTGTTTAACAATAGTAACAAGAAAAATAAAAAAAATCCATCTCCCAAATATTGCTGCTTAAATGAAGAAATCTGGAAAGGATGCAGAGTGAAATTTTATGCAGAAGGATTACAAGCTTTGCCACTGAAAAATACTTGGCTTTGGCATTATTTAATTCTCAGTATATGACTTTTGCACGAAGCTCCAGTAGGTTGTGGAACAATGCAGATCTCACAAAGCAGAGACCTGATTAGATTACATATGGATTCCCTCCAGCTATCTGGTGATATGTTTCGTTTTCTCCAAGGAACTCATAAATACAGTACTTTACTCACATATAAAGGGAAATTTCAGTGGAAAGCATAAAAACAACCTGAGAAATATAAAACTTTTTCTAGTAAAAATGGGTTTCATAAAATTTCAAAGAAACTAAATGTGTTTTTTATGCAGGCATGAATTACCTTGGGACCAATTTATCTGTGCTGCAACCAGGTTTTAAATATACCTTTGGAGGTTTAAAACAAGAAACGGCAACTTCAAGGGAGGCCAGGCTATAACCAGCTCCAGGACCTTGGAGAGCTGCATTCGCCCTACATCTCCTATCTCCTAATTGTGATCAAAAAGTCCATTCCTTTTCAAAACCAGTTTGACGTCAAATATCCTCTTGGGAGTGTGGGAGGCATGTGTCTTGTCCATTTCAGGTCTAGAAGAGGCGTTTATTAAGCGCCCTACCAGATACACCCTATATCTCAGGATCTGGTCCCAGGTTTTCTGTTTATCCCAGATTATCTGGCAGTGGGGACTCATATAATCCAGTTTAAAGCAGAAAATCTGGGATCAGATCCTGGGATACAGGGCCTGTCTGGAAGGGCCCTAAAAACATGAAGTGAAGAAGAATGATTTCTGATCACTTCCCCTTACTGAAAATACCTTTCCTGGGCTGAATAGTATTTGGCATTTCTAGCAATTCAAGGGCAAACTATTTCTGAATGCAATCCTCAGCTTCCCCATACCTGCCTTCTCTTGGTTTAGACCAGTGGTTCTCAGCCTGTGGGTCCTTCGGTGTTTTGGCCTACAACTCCCAGAAATCCCAGCCAGTTTACCAGCTGTTAGGATTTCTGGGAATTGAAGGCCAAAACATCTGGGGACCACAGATTGAAAACCACTGGTTTAGACTTTGACCTTCCCATATACAAATGCAGTTGAAACTTTGACTTATGAAGGCTCAGAACCACTGATTCTAGTATCAGCCTAGCATTTATCTTGCTTACCATTAAAACAGTCCCTGGAGATTTTTCTTGGTCAGTTTGACCACAGCAAAATGAAGCCTTTATCAAATTATGTCAAATTATGTTGTGATACCTTGAAAATGTTTTTTGTTAAGCCTGGATATAGAGAATAAATAATCATCTATCTACTGGGTTGTTGTAGGTTTTTCCGGGCTATATGGCCATGTTCTAGAGGCATTTTCTCCTGACGTAAGACCTCACTACCTCTGAGGATGCTTGCCATAGATGCAGGCGAAACATCAGGAGAAAATGCCTCTAGAACATGGCCATATAGCCCGGAAAAACCTACAACAACCCAGTGATTCCGGCCATGAAAGCCTTTGGCAATACATCTATTATCTTTTACATGTGATAGTAGAGGTATTGATTGTATTTATATTATCTGAAGCACTCACCTATGACTTACCTATCAACATTGCTTTCTTGGGACTGGGGAAAAATGATTTAATGAGTATTTGTGTATTTTACTACAAGTGAATAAATATTGTAAATGAAAACACACATCTCAAATAAATTGTTAAACCACTGAGCTGCAGAACTTGCTGACTGAAAGGTTGGTGGTTCAAATCCAGGGAGCAGCGTGAGCTCCCACTGTTAGCCCAAGCTTCTGCCAACCTAGCAGTTCTAAAACATGCAAATGTAAGTAGATCAATAGGTACCACTCCAAAGGTAATGGCACTCCATCCAGTCATGCTAGCCACATGACTTTGGGGGCGTCTATGGACAATGCCAGCTCTTCAACTTAGAAATTGAGATGAGCACCACCCCCCAGAGTCCGACACGACTAGACTTAATGTCAAG